CATCGTGGTCTTAGGGTTTGGTGTGAGGTCCTGGGTGGCCGACTTGGGCGGTGGAGAGAGGAGGCCCAGAGCGGCGATAGTGATAGTGAACCCCGCCCTCAACGTAATGGAACTGAAGAATTTCACCACGGCGAACCAGTCGGCATGTTATGTCAAATGGGGTAGAATATCCTTTGCCCTAGTCTCCTCATACATTCCGTCTGGCCGTCGAACATTGCTGTCTGTACTCAATTCCCAAAATTTTACCCTTCTTCCACCCAACTCACCTACCTACTGGCCCACTGATCCTAACCGTAATCCTGATATCCTCGATTTCTTTGTCCATAGTGGTTTAGGTGCTCTCAACCATTCCGTTGCCCGTCTTGACGAGCTTTCCTCAGACCACAGCCCATTAATACTCCAAGTATCACTAGCTCCTATTCCTAAACCCTCTCCACCATCCTTCATCCGAGGCCTAGTTAACTGGACACTCTTTTATCAAATCCTCTCTGATAAAATTGACCTCAGAGTAACCCTGAAAACCCCTGAAGACCTGGACAATGCAGTACATTCCTTCACTACCAAAATTCAAGAAGCAGTCTGGACTGCTTCCTCCCCTGATCACTCCTCAAAAATCCTTAAGAAACATAATTTACCTCAACACCTCCTTGACCTAATCCACATAAAACGCCGTGCCAGATTATTATGGCAACGTACCAGACATCCAGCCGACCGCCACTCCTACAATTATCACTGTAAAAAATTTTTTTTTTTTTTATTTCTTTATGACATTTACAACTGTATTACATAAATACATCAAGTAAATTTGGACATAATTGATATAATGACATGAATACACTTGCTGAGTAACTACCCAATGGTAGCACTCTAATGATATGACTACATTAGGAGATCACGGGGCCATCTTCTTTTCAGACGCCTCGGAGGGTTATCAGGAATTGAAGAGGAAGCAAGGTTAGAAACGAGAGGGTTGGGATGATTCTGAAGTTTATTATGGAAGGATAGGTATCTGGATTGGGCCAGATCTGAAACATAAGGAACATTAAGATCTTTATGGATAATTTTATTAGTGACAAAGTAAGGAGCATTGAGGATTTTACGAAGGATTTTGGATTGTAAGGATTGGATGCGAGAGGAATTCGATGGTTTAGTGGAGCCCCATAGCTCAACTCCGTAAGTCCAAATAGGTCTTATTATAGTCAAGTATATGAGTCTTTTGTAATTAATGGGAAGTTTAGAGCGTTTGTCTAGTAAGTGCTGAAGTAATCGGAAACGTCGAGCGGTTTCTTGTCGTTTCAGTCTAGTATGAGGATTCCAAGTTAGTCGTTTGTCCAGGTGGAGTCCTAGGTATCGGATTTGCTCAACAGGGATAAGTGGAGTATTGTTAAAGGAAACTGTAGGACAGGAAGTCGTTGGTTTACGACGAAGGGTAAAGGTAATTTGGTGGGATTTATTGGAGTTTATTTTAATTCTCCAGTTTTGACACCATTCTTCTAGATTTATGATGTGTGATTGAAGCATTTGGGATGCAATTGCTGGGTCATTGTTTACTGATAGGATACATGTGTCATCGGCATATGTGGTGATGACAGTGTTGGGATGGGTTGGGATGTCAGCTGTATAAACTGTATAGAGGATAGGACCTAGGATACTACCTTGAGGAACACCAGCGGACTGGGAAAAAAGGGATGAACAGGCGTTATTGTGATTTACTTTAAAGTATCTATCAGTAAGGTAAGAACGGATAATGAGGAAGTATGTAGGTGGTAGGAATTTTCGGAGTTTGTACAGCAGTCCCGGGTGCCAAACTCTATCAAACGCCTGTTCAACGTCGAGAAAGACTCCCGTACAGTACATTCCGCGCTCCAATGCAGAGGATACTACGTCTACCACACGATGACATTGCTGTATAGTGGAATGGGAAGTTCGGAAACCAAATTGGTGATCTGGGATTATGTGTTTAGAATTTAGGATAGGGTACAGGCGTTTTAAGATGAGTTTTTCTAGGATCTTGCCCATGATGGGTAAAAGAGAGATAGGACGGTAAGAGGATGGGTATTCTGGTGGTTTTTTGGGTTTGTGGATCATTTTAACAATAGATCGTTTCCAAGGATCAGGAAAATATGTAGAACGGAGTACAGCATTATATATGTAAGTAAGGAATAGGATGGCTTTTCGAGGAAGAAGTTTTAGGATCTGGGATGTAATTAGATCATGTCCAGGAGCTTTACGGGAAGGCAATTTTTGAATGATGTTGGATATTTCTATGGGATGAAATGCTTTGGGTGGCAGAGACATTTGGAGAGGAATATCCAGTTCTGCCTCAATACAATTGATGTGAGTTGAATTAAGGATATCGGGATGTGGGTTAAAAGTTTGGAAGAGATGTTGACCAAATAGTTGGGCTTTTTCTTCGTCGGATTTGGACCAGGTTTGGGAATCAGTAAGTAGTGGGTGATTAAAGTCTTGAAACTTAAGAAGTTTTTTGGTGGTCATCCATAATGATTTGTCAGTGGTTGTAAGTTTTTCAGTAAAATTTAGTAAATTTTGAATTTTGTATTTTCTTATTTCTGATTTCAGTTTGTTAGTCAGTTGGGTGTAATGCGATTTATCTGTTGGGTATCTAGTCCTATGCCACTTCGATCTTGCTCTGCGTTTTTCCTGTAATAAGATACGAATATGCTGTGGCAAGTTAGTATTTTGTGGGAAGTTAATCTTATTGATAAATGTGTTATTATTTATACTGTCTGTTATTGATGATGTCAGTTTTTCTATGGCACAATTAATGTCTTCTTTTGTCTTTAGCGGGATTTTGAGGTCTAGTTTGTTTTCCAAATCATCACGAAATTTGTCCCAGTTTACTCGTCCAGTGATCAGTTTAGGAAGTGATGGTTTAGGAGCAAAGTCAGAATGTAGTGAAAGCAGAACTGGACTATGGTCTGAAGAAAGGTCATCCAGGGATTTGATTATAGTTTGGGAGGAGGAAATCTGGGAGGTGATAAATATGTCCAGGATATCGGGACGTTTTTTGAGGGATGTTGGAAAATAAGTAGGATTCATGGGCGAGAGGATGGAATAATTGTTGGAAGAAGAAACTTGTGAAAGGGTATTACCACGGGAGTTGGATGATCGACAACCCCATCGTTGGTGTTTAGCATTGTAGTCTCCTCCAGCAATAAAGCGCGATCCGAGGGATTGTAATAAGGATTCAAGTAGGCTGTACGAGAGGGAATTGCCAGGAGGACAGTATACAGCTGAAAGTGTTAGATAGAAAGGACGAGTTGAGAGGATTACAGAAGTTGACTGAATGGCATCTGTTGGAATAGAAGGAATAAGGGAATGGGGTAAAGATTTGTGGATAAGGATGCAAGAACCGGCGTGGGCAGTGTTGTCTGGGTGGTCAGATCTATAGGTGATGTAGTCACGTATGTAGAAATGTGTCCGTTGGGTGAAGTGAGTTTCTGTCAGGAGAGCAATGTCAATATAATTGTCATGGAGAAATATGTCTAGTTCGTCACGGTGGTTTTGCAGTCCATTAGCGTTCCATAAGAGAATAGCTAGGGACTTCGTGTTCATCGAGGGAAGCTAAGCGGGATTTCGGAAAGGAGTCTGGTTAGAAGGGTTATGAGCGGTTTGATAGTCTGTTGAAGATCTATCAGGAATGATGATAAGATAGTGTTGATGTCGGTTGGTGTTTGGCTGGGAAGTGGGTTTGGATCAGGAGGTTGTGATGAGTAGGTTATGCGACTAGGAATGTTGGGTGGGGGATGGGCCCGTCGTGGGGTACGAGGAGGATCTAAATTCTGTTGGACTTGTGGGGGGGGGGTTCATCCTGGGATTAGGAACGAATGGAGCTGGATGTGGATGCTCTGGCGGGAGTTTGACTCTTAAGGGTAAATGATGAGGAGGGATTTGCTGGCGAGGTTGAGGCTGAGGATTAGGGATTTTGGGCTTGGATTGGAAGGCCTGAGGCGCCTGACGTTGAGGCTGCTTCTTACTGATGGAAGACTGGGAGTGAGAATTTCTGAGACTCTGGTGAGGCGAGTCCTTAGCTGTAAAGATGGATGGTTGTTGTTGGATGACGAGGGAAGGTGAAGTCGGCAATGCTGGGAAAATTTCCTGATTTTCAATTTCAGGTGCCTCAGTGTAAGTTTTCTGAGCAGATCCAAGATTTTTCACCGCTGAGTTTCGTGATCTTTGTTGAAAATTTTATTACAATAAACAACTGGTTGCTATATAACCACATAGATGGTTCTTCAGTGATATTGGAGAAAAAAGAAGACTGAAATAAACATTCTTTATTTTTGAGTAGTTTAAAAGCAAAATGAGGTAAAGAAAAGAAACTGAGCGTGCGATTAATCCTTAAAACTACATTTCTTGAGATTAATAAATCACGCATCTAAAACATCTCAATGAGAGTTACTACTTTGGTATTGCAAATTGTGGCTCGCATGTATGGGACATGCTGTATGTTCCATTGGAAATTCTTTCTCCTTTATTTTGTTTTTATGCCTTCCTATATAAGAGTCTTACTGCTCGATTGAGAATTATTCTAATTGTTTACATAACTTAATAACCAAAAACATATATTAAATAAATATTTTTAAAACGACTCAATCTTAACGAACAAATTTTCTTTTATCTAGTAAGGAATGTCGTGGGTGGAGATACGTCGTACATATTTGATTAATTACATTAAAATTCTAACCAATTTTCTTAGTTTAGCATTATTGAAACAATTAATCCGTTTTCGAATAAAAAACATGAGGAAAATAGAACATCAGTGAAGGAGCTCTGCTGCTCACGCTTATTTGTTTTGTAAGGTGTATTTACCTATGCAACAGAAATAATTTCAGGATATAATTACAATCAAGAAAATTCATATATGGCATCTAGGAATATTCTATTTTGGGAAACAATTTTAATAAGGAAGAAGTAAAATAGTTTAAAAGGAAATAATAAAATCTGTTTACATTTTGATTAAACAAAATTTAACCTGTTATCCAAATACATTTTAGTTCCAATACGAATATATGTTACATTACATCAATGTGGAGACAGTTACAAATTTTTTTTTTTAATTTTAGTAAAAACAAGGTTCATGAGGGATAGTCTAATTCTTTACATCAAGTAAAAAATCGATATCGATGAGGTGATGTCATTTTGAAAGGTTTCATGTGCCGATGACGGTATGGATCCATTCAAGTCTCGTGCCTAATCTTCCGGGGAGTGTGTTCAGTTTGGACTGGAAAAAACAACAATAATATAAGTACATGCATATAATATTATATAGAAAATAAGAAGCTTTTTTTTTTTATTATTATAAGGTTTATATTATTATTAGAAGTTCTTATACAATGAACATCGTATTGTTGTGAGTAGGCAAAGCATTGGACGTGCTCCAGGAATTAGTGGTATAGACGCGAAAATCTTGAGAAGTAGTATTCGTTACATGGAAAAACATGTCTTGAAAATTTACAATGATTCCCTGGAGAGGGGCTACTTTCCAAGAACGTGAAAGATTGCCGACCTGACTACGATAAGTAACTCCCTAAACCATACGGGCCTATATGCCTGCTCCCTGTTATGAGTTAAGTTCTGCAGAACCTTATGTTAATCTACGATCAGTTAGTCAACGAGAACTAGCCATCTATGGCAATCTCGGTCCGCGAAGGGTAGGGGAACTGCTGATGCCCTGCAGAGAGTACGATATAGAAGAGGATGGTAAAGATTTGAGGAATCTCTCGTGTTAGAAGACTCCTTAGAGAGGGTCTGCCTCCACTAGTTGGTCCATGACAATTTCAGAGAGGGTATGATGGGTAGTTGGTCTTACATCATGTCTCTTTAAGATGACCTGCAGTAACAGTGCGTCGCCAGCAATTTCGCTGTTGCAGCGAGCGCCTAGATGAGGATACAAATCGGAATGCTGTTATGTTTATAGACAAATCTCGTTTTAGTATTTATAGCAATCGTAGGCGCCGAAGACTCTACCGAGAACAGGGGATGGGTACACTGTCACAATATGTGCCTCCTTCAATGCAGTCTAGAGGTACAATCTACTTCAGAGGACGGAATCTACTGCATATTGTGGAAGGTAATCTCACTGCTGTTTTTTATGTCCAAGAAGTTATAGATAAGTACATTTCTCAAACCAAGGCCACAAATGGCTTATATTTTCATTCTCTCTCTCTCTCTCACTCTCTAACTCGCTCGCACGCTCCCTCACTCACTCAATCTCGCTCGCACGCTCCCTCACTCACTCAATCTCGCTCTCTCTCGCTCCCTCACTGACTAACTCACTCCCTCCCTCACTCACTTGCTCACTCAATGCTATTGTATTTTTAAGTGAATGAATAGTAAATAAACACTGTTACCGTTACCTGAATCTTCTGATTTCTCTTTTTTCCTGTATTGTTTTTTATCGGAGATCACGAGGATGGGTATTGATACGTCACTCACTTTTTCTTTTCTAAAAACGAAGTTCCGAATTCTTTCTTCCTGCCATCTTTTAGTATCATCGTCTTTCAATCTAACTTTTGCTTTTATCTTTTCCAAATGATGCGAGATATGTAACCACCATCGATGCTTGTGATGATGTTTGTAGTGGTGGATTTTGGTGCTGTTCATTTGGTTGAGAAGATCAGCAAATGATGGCCAAGTTGAATCGGTTCCTATTGTCGAGAGATTGTGAGCATTTTCATTTTTACCAATGTAAATTTCCTTCTTGGGTTCTTCGTTCAGCGAATTCTCTTTAAAATCCATAAAAAAGGTTTTGGATACATTAGTTTCGTTTTTGTCAGCGAATACATTTTGCCTTTCACCTGTGAACAAAAAATAAAACAAAAAAACATTAGTACCTTGATAAAATATCTATTTGTTCTGATGTTATTATACATAAGTCTCTGTAAAAGTAAAATCTGATGAGTTAAAAGTGATTGGCAAAACTCCGGAATAAATAGTAAAACTTGAGTTTTATCAGTAAATCTTCGATTGTCACAAAGTTTTGGTAAAAGTACGACAGTGCTGCATAAAAAAAAAAAGGAACCATATTTTATCAATAATAATTGACGAAAGTCAAGACATGACAGTAGGCGTGGGTATAAAATTGAGAAATATTATGAATAAATTGTCCTTTTTACTTATCCATCCATGAGATATAAATTAAAGAAAAGTATTGCGATTCCACGTTTTCAACGGAAATATATGTTTTAAGGTTTCCTGGCTCCAAATCACCAAGTCAAATCAAAAATGGTCTGTGTGTGTGTGAAGAGTTAGGTTAAAAACAACCTACGACGCTGATATTACGAATTTAAATTAAGTAAATGCCTAGGATTTTATAGCCAGGGGTGCCCATCCCCCCCAAGGTCGATGTCAGCAAGAAGCTATTCCCCCACTCCCAAGATATTTTATTGCTCATTTTGTGTTTTTAAAACAGAGCAAGCGAAGGTATAATTAGAAAAATAGTATATCATACACAATTAAACTTACTGCGGTCTGTTCCATGTTTTACCCTTGTCCCTTAGCATGGAACTTTTCACTCAGAAAATTCATAACCCCACCGAAATGTAAAAACCTGGCATGATATGTCCCCTCAAAAATGTGGATGCTGCAAGTTGCGCAAAATTGCACCGTCAAATCCCCTTTGGGCAAACCTGGTTATAGCAACTTTTATGCTAAAATAAACTAACCAAATGTTTCACTTTATATCAACGATTTTACAATTTTCTTGAAACAGGTTAGAGCCGTTTCTACGGCTCTTAATATTAATTACGTTTTATGACCATTGAAATAGTCTAACGAGATTTAAATACATTTTTTTCAAAATTCTTTCCTTTACTCAGTACCTTTAATTTTCATTATTAGAAATAATTAAAGGCCTTTCATCGTTAGCAATAATGGAAAATGGATGATTTAAGGAATTGGATAATTGACTGAAGTAGAAATATATTCGCAGGTTGAAAACGACTTTCCTGAAATAAGATTTGTTATATGTGTAACATACCGTTGGAAAGCTGAATATTTTGCAAAAGTTACTATTCATCACATATAGTCGTAGAAGGTAATAGAGATTTACGAAAAACTAATGTCTTTTAATTGTTGTAGTTAATAATTTCTGCTTTTATTATTATTTATTGAAGAATGGGAAATAAATGATTCCAAGAAAACAAATTCGAATTACCATAGGATATAAATGGAAAAACAAGATTTTTTATAGTATTAATTTCCAGTGAAAGTAGAATCGTAAGTTTACCTTTTCAATTTATAGAGAATATTATCAAAAACGAACTTTATTTTTGTTAATACAGATCGATGCAATGAACTTTTTCTCACTTCCACGTTTGATAATGCACTCCATCAAACGCTTGCAGTGGATACTCGACACGTAGGTATCAACCTTTACCTCTTTCATTCCAACCTTCTTGTCTACAACTTCATTTAAAAGTTCAAAAAAGCGACCATGCATTTCCTCATCCATGATCTGGGAGAAAATTGATCTTCTGTCTACAAACCCAAAGACGAACTATTGCGAGAGGAAAAGAAAAATCAAGTCATAATACATAAGTCTCAATTTCAAACGATTAAGCCATAAGTTACTATCTCACTATGGGAAATTCGCACATTAATTGTAATGTTTGATACGAGTCCGGTTTTCGGGCTCATACAACCATAGACGCAGACTTTCGATTTTGATAAGGGGGGATAGAAAAAAAAAAGAAAAAAAATCCATGTTTTTATTATGCCTAAAAATTCAATATGATTATTGTGAAACGAACCAATGTAATGATTAATATTTAGAATAAATTTGCTTATATGATTGTATAGTTGTAAGGTTTTTTATTTTTTGTTACTTCTGCTCAGCCTCTACTGGTCCTTAATAACATTAGTGTTGCCCAAGACGATTCTTGGTTTTCGCAACAGTCTTGTAGTTACCTATTAGCTTATTAAAATAGAGATATTACTGTAAGTTTTCAGATAGGGGAAACCTAACTAAGCCTGAATGAAATATTAAAAGGGTTAAATACAAAAGTATATTGGTTATACCAATTATTTAAATATAGTAACTAAAATTTTCAAGTATTAGTAACTCTTTTGTGCAAGACCAAGACCGATTTTAATAATAATAATAATAATAATAATAATAATGCTTTATTTATTCTGGGACGAGTCCCTTTAGAATAATACAGAGAAACAAAAATGTGGGCTAAGGAGCCTCAGAGATACATAAACAAGAGTATAGTTTGATTAAATAGTAAAAAAAAAATAAAATAAAATAAAAAATATTTAGAGAAATTATAAGTTACTTTCTAATTTACATCAGTTAATAATAAAAATAAAAAATTGAAAATAAACATGAAGTAAAAATAATAAAGAACGATCTAATAATTTATATACATATTTACAGTAGTAACTATTTACAATTTTATGATGAGGACTGGATGGATAAGAAATGATTAAACAGTTGGGATTTAAAGGTAGGAAGGGTTTTGGATTGACGGATGTGGGGAGGGATGGAGTTCCATAGGGAAGAGGATCGAATAATAAATGATTTATCGAAAGCAGCGGTTCGGTGGGCCATTATATATAGATCTGAGGACCGGGAACGGGTATTGCGGGAGTGGACAGAGGATTTAAATTGAAGGAGCTCGGCGATGTATGAAGGACGGCGGGAGTGAATTACTTGGAAGAGGAAGGATGCCAGGAAATACTTACGGCGGTTGGAAGGATAAAGCCACTTCAACTCTTCATAGAAACAGGAAACAGGAGCGTCTCGTTGGATCCCGAAGATAAATCGTACGAAGCAATTTATCAAACGTTTTAGTTTCGCCTCGAGATCCCCAGAGACGCCCCCATATACCGTGCAGCAATAGTCGAAATGGGGAAATATTAAAGAGGTGACCAGAAGTCTACGGATTACAAAAGGAAAAAGGTGTCGCAGGCTATTTAAGTGTTTTAGGGTGGAAAAGGTACGTCGGGAGATATTGGACACATGGTTTTTCCAGGTAAGGGTTTGATTGAAGATTATTCCAAGATTTTTGATGGCGGGATAAAATTTAATAGGATTATCATGTAAAAAGAGGGTTGGAAAGTTAGGAACAGTTTTGAGGAGGTAATTGGAGCCTATTAGGATTGCCTTGGTCTTTTCCGCATTCAACTTCAACTTGTTAACTCCTGCCCAGTCGTATATTCTATTTAAATCTTCTTGAAGCTTTTTTGTGGCGGCTAATAGGTCGGAAGGGGGGAAGGAAAGGTATATTTGGAAATCATCTGCATAGATGTGGTATTGGGAGTGATGGATCTGGTTGGGAAGGTCATTAATGTAAATAGCAAACAGATTAGGAGACAAGGAGGAACCCTGAGGGACACCACAGGAGAGGGGAAGTGTCTTTGAAGGAGGTTGATCTGGGACGACTACATACTGGGATCGATCGGAAAGGAAGGATTTGAACCAACGTAGGACACTGTTGGATAGAGGAAGATTTCGCAATTTGGTAAGAAGGATGTTTGGTCAACTGTATCAAATGCTTTGGAAAAATCTAGAAGGATGAGGATAGTAAGGTTTTGGTGTTCAATGGAGTTTTGGAGGTCATGGGTTATTTTAAGGAGGGCAGATTGCGTTGAATAGCCGGGTCGGAAGTCAGATTGGAATGGATTGGTGAAGGAACGTTCTTCTAGGAAGTTGTAAAGTTGATTTTGGACAAGGCGTTCCAGTGGTTTTGAGAGGTTGGAAAGAAGAGAAATAAGGCGGAAGTCGTTCTTTGAGGAAGGGTTAGATGTTTTACTCAATGGTCGGACGAGTGCAGTTTTCCAGCAAGAGGGAAATGTGGAATTTTGCAATGAGAAGTTGTAGATATGATAAAGTACTGGAATAAGGGTAGGAAGTCTGGATTTTATTAGTTTTACTGGAATATTGTCAGGACCATAATCATTGGTGTGGGATTTGAGTATAGTGGAAAGTACTTCGTCGTAGGACACATGGGAAAAAAAGAAGTTTTCAGGATTGAAATTATGGTGTTCAATATCATGAGTAGGAGAAGGTTAGAAGCAAAAGATAAAAAATGGTCATTAAGATCATCTGGAGTCACAGGGAGGGAAATGAGGTTATTGGAATCTGGTAGGGATAGATTACGAAGTATTTTCCACTTTGATTTAGAATCGGGAGCATTGGTAAGGGCATTATGAAAGTAGTTGGATTTAGCAAGTCGGATTGTGGATTGGGTTGCATTACGGAGTTGTTTGAAAGATGCATAATCAGCAGGTAAGCGGGTTTGGCGGTATTTGCGCCTTGCTGCATTCCTTCTCTTTATCATTCCCTTTATTTCAGGAGTCAGCCAAGGAGCAGTGGGACGACGTAAGATTCTGGTTTTCAGAGGAGCATGGATGTCTAATATGGATTGTAGGTTTGAGGTAAGGGTGGATATCATAGGGTCAATGGAGGTGTAGGAAAATATGGTATCCCATTGGGCAGAATCCAGGTCAGGTTGAAGGGATTCATATGAAAGGAGGTTTAGATTGCGATTGATACTATTTTGGGAGTAAATGATTTTAGGCAATATTACTGCAAGAGTCCTGCCTTTTCTTCCACGATTGGGGTGAAAGGCTTGGTTCAGTTTTCTTCTGATCGAATGAATTCTGTATATATTGTATCGTCAGAATGGCAAGAAACGTTGACCTAAACATAGCCAATTTCTTGTCATCCTCTCGTCTGTTGAGGAAGCCTCTCTTGATAGCTTTAAACATTCTGGCAGCACTTGCCATTCTCTCAGTAACCTCCGTATCAATATAACCATTGATCCTAGGGTATTTTGATATAGATAGATGGAGAAATAACTTTATTCTGGAATAAAGTCCCTTAAGAATAACAACATTTTACAGAACAGAGGAATACTTCTGGCCTAGAGCAGTACATTAAATAAATAAAATATATTATGTAAATTAACAAATAAAGTAACAAGCTTATGAAACTATATACAAAATGTCTAGAACTGTATACAATGCAAAGAAGAAATGAAATAAAACAATCACTGTTTAACTGCAAAAAAAAAAAATAATAAAACAGATAGGAATAAAAGCAATAAGTAAAAAATTAATTCCTCTAGTAAATGAGCATCAAGTAAGAATAACGTGAAGTAAAATATAAAGAAATAAAGATTTATTTATTCTATTTAGGTAAGAATTGAAACATTTATAACAAAAATATTAAGACAATAAATAAATTAAACAACTTTAAGAGCACAGTAATCTTGTAGAACAGCAATGACACGGTATAATAAATATATGTGCAGTTCATTAGTACACGTAAGAGTATACACAAGTCCATGAAAAAATATATATACATTAAAAATTGGTTTTTAAACCAATGCTCTAAAAATTAGGACGTGGTTAGCTATTTTTGGCTCGGTTTTAAATAGGAATTGGAATAGTAGATATATATCATTATTATATTATGATAATAATATATATTATTATCCTTGAATATAAATGACAATTTAAATAAAAATATCATTGAAATATTAATATAATATTTAACCTACTACTAGGCCATAGCCTAGAAACTTAGTCGACTTTTCTTAATCGATTTTAGTTTTTGCTCTTTACTTTGTCACAAATAAAATCATCCATAACGACCTTAATGTCCCATACGTTTTAGATTTGGCCAAATCCAGAATACCTATCGTTACATAATAAATATCATAACCATCCCAACCCTCTCGTTTCTAATCTTGCTTCCTCTTCAATTCCTGACAACCCTCCGAGGTGTCTAAAAAAAGATGGCATCGAGATCTCCTGTTGTAAATACATTTTTAGAGTGCTACCAGTGGGTAGTTTCTCAACAAGTGGTTTCATGTTATTATATTCTTGTGTTCACATTTACTGAATGTATTTTTATTTCTAATACAGTTCTAAATATCATGAATAATAAATTTAAAAAAATGCTTTTTTAAAAATATTTTTAATCCGTACTCCTTTTTATCTTTTATAAAGGCAACGTCAGAAATTCTGAATGTTATTGTAATGTTTTGGAAGAAAATCACCTTTACAGCGGCTGAAGCAAAGTCGAATTCTTTAAAATTCTGAGTTTTGTGAAGGTTTATCTGAATGGCAGGGGATCAACTCCTAGAAAAAAAATCTCTAAAAAATCAAGTCCAAAAATTAATAATCTTTTATTTCTATGTAAATTACTGAATAGTAATAGTAAAGGGCTCTAATGAGGAATGATAGTGTTTTTATTTTTAATTTTGGATTCATTTAAAACGATCAGCAATGTGATTTTCTAATTAAAAAATAATACAAAACGATAGGTAAATATTAACTATAAAATGCGTGTACAACATAGGTCGACAATATTAACATTAAAAAAAAATTGATATTGTATACAATATTTTTATTTTTGTTTTTTTATAGTAGTGGCCCCTCGGGCATGTATAGAATATTTTCCGATCTAGAATCCACAAAAAGAAGTTTAATTAAATCGTTTATTTCACGTCCGTTGCCTCCCCTTGCTAGTGGATTTAGACTAAAATATTTGGAAAATCCTGCTCTAGATAATAGTTTTATGGATAGAGGATTGGAGAATACGATCAAATGAGGATAAGCGAGTTTTGAAATAATAATAAACATAAAAGTAATAAAATCGAGAAATGAGCTATGGGTTTGATGATATGAACCATCTGAATGTATGGACCAAGGAGTAGATGGGTTGATATCATATCTATACTGGTAGGAGTGTTGTTTGACAGGGCTCTAGAGATATTATAGACCCTCTTATATCTTTTGAAGCAGAATTTATATTATTAGCGCTATGAGATATTAAAAATACAGTGCTCAAGAAGACAAGTAACTTAAAAGATAATGTGATACTTTAAATAATATATTAAGTAAATTTACAAGTCACTGTTTACAAACGCTTGTGACATTACGAATTAACATATTCTTAAAGGAAGGAGATGGTCCGGGGTGGCGGTCATAAATAGGCTAAATAGTGGTAAAACTATTTTTATTAAAAGCTGACGTTTCGACCCGACTTTGCAGGCCTTCTTCAGGGAGGTGTGTTCAGCTACTGGAGAACTGGAGTTCTAAGTGAAACTCCTAGCTGAACACACCTCCCTGAAGAAGACCTGCAAAGTTGGGTCGAAACGTCGGCTTTTAATAAAAATAGTTTTACCACTATTTAGCCTATTTATGACCGCCACCCCGGACCATCTCCTTCCTTTATAATGCAACGGTCAACTATTAAATATTCAAAATAACATATTTTTAATTTGCCATGAGTGTATTTTTAAAACGTTAATATTATTATTTATTTATTATTATTATTATTATTATTATTATTATTATTATTATTTTTTAAAGCCTGTTCATTCAAGTCTTACAACTTGTAGGCCTCCCCTAATTAAGGGAGTATGGTCTAACTTCCCGCGGGGACCAGCCGTAGTGGGGTGTAACGTCGGAATTCGATCCTGTGATCTTTACTTTACTAGTGTATCACAAAGAATTATTTGAGTTAGATATTTAATTCTGTTTTTTTTTTTTTTTTTTAGAGAATTCAATATCTCTAATTAAATAACGTAATTAATTTCGTTCATCTAGAGTTATTTAAAACATTGATTGATTATACTGAAAATAATTGGTTATACTTATAGTTACAAGGAAAAATATAGACATTATATAACTTAAATATGCGTATACTTGACTAATCCAGGGAGACTTTTTCTGATTAGTTAGTTAGGAATTTTCTTCTAGTTACTGTAACGGAAATTACTTTTTGGCTATTCTTATGTTAAAGTTAATGTTCAAATCAGTATTTAAATTGAAACACAAAGGTTAACCATTCTGTTCGAGCCTATTTGGATCATTACTACATACAATTATTTATTTATAAACACATATGGCAGAACATAGCATTTCCAAGTCATATTCAGCTTTTTTCAAGTCAATTCAAATGTTTCCAAGTCAAATTAGAATATTTCGAAAAGTTAAAATAAATTGGAAGTTAAACTGGAAATGGAAAAAGTTTAATATGATTTGGAAATCCTACATGAAATAATTGTGGTAAAACTGCTTAAAATATAAGTATGGACAAATAGACATTTCTTGATTTAATCGATAAATTGATCCAGTGGTTTATTTTATCAAAGCTTGTGATCTTACTAAGGACTCCTGTATCGATTTTTTTTTTAGTTGGCTGGATTTTTAGATAAAGAAAGGTGTGGAATGAGAGAGGAACGTGGAAAGTAAAAAACACAAGGTTAGAACACAATATACATTTATTGAATAAAAGATTTATATTAAAACTTTAACAGATGTGCGTGATAAAAAAGTGATGGGAAAAACAGATGTTTGAGATATAGTTTCTTAGGAGATATGAAATTGAAATGAGTTATCAATGGTGAGTGAAAACGTAGCCAGGATAGTAACCGTAAAAAGGATTTTGACCAAAATCGCCGGGATAGAAGTAATCAATAGGCCTATGGCCGTGGGTATCTATGGCAGCATTGGTTACAAATTCGTCGACAGTTTCCTGAGTGGTGGAGATGTAGGGAGCTGATGTTGAGGTGTCCATGGTGGGCGGTTCTGTTGCAGTTATAGGCGTTTCTTCTGTTTTATCATAATTTCCATTCTCTTTATCATCCTTAAAAACTCTAACGTACTGACCGTCGATGAATACGTAATCCCTAATCTCAGCGTCTTTACGCTCATTACGTAAAAGTTGCTGAGTTTCGGGAACAGATCTCTTCGTTGTGGAAACAGAATCTTGTTGAAATTCCTCCATGTGTCCTAGATTAGAATTTTCCAATCCTTCTCCACTAGTGTGATGGTCGTTGCTGATTATAGTATTAAAACTGTCATCATTTTCATTCGTCAAGTCTCTCCCTTGTAAATAATTATCATATGGTTGGTCTAGTACTTGGTGGTAAGGATGATACATGGTATACATTCCTCCCCAAGGCACGAATGGTAAAAATAAATTAGGCATGTAAGGAGGAGCTTGCACAGCTTTTCCTTCTCTTCCATTCTGGAAATGATTATGAACAGAGTTAAACGAGTAGTCCGTTAGTGTATCTGAATATTCCCTGGGTACGTAAGGTTCAGGGGCATTGATATAATTGTTATTAACATTGTTGTAACTTGTCTTATTTTCACAATCACAGACATGATAGGGCATCGAAACTACGATGAACATTGGATATACAGAATGAGGGTGAATTCTAGGCCTATCAGCGTATTGTCTTAATTTATCTAGTTGTTCGCTCCCACTCGACTGATAGGCACAGTCACATTGAGGATCGTCAGTATTTGGCATTTCTTCTTCTTCCTCCCTTTTTTTAAGTATTATGTTTTGTTGTTTTAAGCTGTTCAATTCGGTGTTGATAATGTCACTTAATTTTTTTTTATTGATGACACTACCTTCTCTTTTATCCTCCAACGTATATGATTCAGAATCATTGATCTCTGTGGATATTTCATCAGAATGTTTCGATCTATATAAGTCATCATAATTATTGTCGTTTTCAACACTTCTGGAACTGTTTTCATTGTTTTCTTCAAGCCTTAAATGAACCTCTTCGATGCCGTGATTTTTTATTTCAGATGATTTGTCATCAAAATTTGTAGGCAAAGGCATCTCTGTCACATTTGGCATTAATTGGAGAACAGTTTCATCAAACAAAACGTTTTTATCAGTTTCGTTAGAATGTTTTACATTAGCCGATCCAGTGACGGAAATGTTAGCTATATGTTCATCAACGGATGAATCGGTACTTCCTGTATCATACAATAGTTCCTGATCAACTATCTTTGAATTATTCTTTTCATTTATTGAATCATTGATTATTACTTGCTTGTTGGATTCAAAGATTGGTTCTATGTTTTTTCTAACGTAAAACTGATTTTCAGTCATATTGTTCTTATTATCCATTTTCTCTTCAGTGTAGTTTGTTTTGATATGAATTATAGTTTTATTTAGCTTATTTGGACGCAAGCCAAACTGGCTGTCATCAATAAATGAAGAATTTTCAGGCGATCCTTTTTCGATTAAGTAAACACTGGCTGTTGTGGCTTGCTCTGCTCTCGATACTTGGGGATGTGATGAGTTAATTACCATCCTATTCCCGCTAGTGATTCCGTTTATATTATCACCGATGATTGTATCGCTTTTGTTACCTTTGGTTATGCTCGGTATTGTTTCTAGAAGACCAGTGGTACCATTTTCGTTGGGATGCGTGATATCATTAGATCCCGCTGACTCATCAATCGGTCCATATGATTTCACAATATTTGAGTAACTCTTAACAGGTATATTTTCACTTTCATGAATGTCACGGGTACTATCGTTATTGGGACCGCTTAGAAGTTGTTGATCATTTATTTCTGTTGTGCTGTGCATTTGTATTGATTCTTTCTTCGTATAATTCTCAACATCAAGCTCAGACATGCCAATATTTGTTAGTTTAATTATTGGTTTTGAACTATATTGACCATGTGTTTTATTGTCTATGGCGGAGTAAGAATCGTTTACATTTGGTTTATTTTGTAATATATCAGAGCTTTGGCCTGTTATGTTTGGCCTTGAATTTATTACAGGACTTTTTTGTCCCAAATGAACTGTTGATGTTTCATGACCTCGTGAACTATTCAATGGTAGACATTCGGGTGAGTTAATTCCCCCGCTCTTAATTTCGCTTGTTATATTGTATTTTTTGATCAATTCCTGCAACATTCTGTAAGTGTAATTTTGTTTCGGGTTGTTAGATGATGCTGGGAGTTTCAATATTTCCAAAAGACTGTTTTTATCTCCATCCCCACTCGAAGAAACATTCATTTCAGATATTGGTTTTTTCTTTTCTGAATAGTCATTAGCATTAGGTGAAGGTTCATCATTCGGATAATCATATATATGTTCAGTATCCTTCAATTTATTCGAAGAACCTTCCATGTTATCTCTTTCAACATAGAAATTGTTTTCACTTGTATTTAGTTTGTATATTTCATTTCTAACACCGGTTTCATTACTTAAGAGAACGTTGACATCAGGTTTATTTAACTCATCTGGTGTTAAAGATTGATGCTCATCTTCTTCCGATCGAAGATAACTTTTTGTTAATACTCGTTTTAAGCTATCGGTTGCTATCTTCTCGTCTACTACATCAGTTTCCAATGAAGTCAATTCTTCATTATTTGCGATATTAGCCTCGCTACTTCCCTCCTTCGTAAGTGAGGACAAGCTTTCTCTACCTGATGAATTAGCTGTTTTACTGTCGTTGACGATAAATTCATTTTTGGATTCAACTAAAATATTATCATTTATTTCAATTTGCTTATATCCTGTTGTCCCTGGGGTTGTTGAAATTGGGACCTCAAATTCGGACTCAGGATTATCAGAGGTTTCTCCAAAATTGAATCCTAACGTTTTAATGTTTTCTGCAGTATTAGGTGACGATTTTTTTATATGGCTTGAACTATGTTCATGCATCGATGGTGTAGTAAATAAAAGATTATCTCGATTAGTCTGGGATAAGACACTGTTTTCGAACTCCATGGGACTCTCACTGTATGGATCACCATAAAATATTATAGGATGAGATTGAAAAATATTTTGACCCATTGTTTGAGTTTCGACACCATTAGGGACCGTTTCTTCATAACTAGTATAGTGTGGTTGGTCAGTATTGCTGTTTAAAGATGGACTTGGACGATTTGAAAAATTTTCTCTATTGCTTTGTTCAACGCTGGGACTGTTGTGGTGTTTGTAATTAATAGATGATTTCGGAAGGTCAGTATCGTATGTAGTATGCTCTGATTCGAGTATCCTTATATCACCGCTCACATCCGTAAAACTGTTCTGCATTTCTTCTTTTTCTTCAAGACTTGAGTATGAATTTGGCGTACTCACCTGCTCCCTGATGTCCTCAATATTCTCGTTCCGCAACATAGGAATCATCGTTGTCGCTAAATTTACTTCATCATTGTAATCAGAATGCTCAATTTCATCTTCTTTTGACAAATCCTTTTCGTAATATGGTAATTTTTGAGAAATCTGATTTTCGCTTAAGTCGCCAGCAACACCGCCTGATACTTCATTGTTTGTATTTACAAAGTTATTAGGTAGGTTTGTTGTCTTTTTGTCGTTTACAGGGCAAACTAGTTTCACTGCATTGCCTTTAGGCTTCGAGGTCTTTGTTCCCAATTTGAATAACGAATCTCTGTTGTGCTGTCTTATTGAAAAGGGCTGAAGTCCCTTGATGAGTGAATAACGCCTATTCGCCAAATCATTTTCTATTTCTTTCTTTATTCCCAAAAGTTGTTCCCTCGCTTGCCAAATGTGTTTTCCGGCTGTTTTGAGATTATCAGGGGCGTTAGAAGAATTTATTTGTCCATTTTGGCAGCAGTTTTTCTTGTTTGATTTCAGCGGGGTGATGCATCTTTTTATCCCCCTTAACGGCCGAGGGCAGAGATATAGACATTCATAATCATTACAAACTTCGAAGCAGTCTTGAGGTAATACCATCGTCTCTGGCGGGCCATCGTTCTGCAAACTAAACAGACCATAGTTAAATAAGTTTCTATAATTTACAACAAATAAGATTATATATCATTAACTGAGATATTATTAATTTTAAAATTCAATGGCGATTTCGGGTTAGTTATAAATAATAGGTAAACAGAAAAAATAAGAATTGATTTTGACATGTTTTCCTAGAATGATTTTGTCAGAGCCTGTAAGAAAAAAGGCGACTTGTTTCATACAAAGGTTTGTCCTAATAAATTGACCATACCCACAGTCCTGAAGTGAAAAATGAACGTCTGTCAGCACATCACCGCTGTAATACAAAATGGCAGCCATATGAAGATAGAGAGAGACCCTATATAGGTAGACGTATTTTTAAGACGTATTTTTTTTTTTTTTTTTTTTTAATATATTTATTGAATAATAATACATGCAGCCACTGCTGGAGGGCTAAAAGTTCTCATTCATACAATATATACAAATAATAAAGAAATAAATATAAATATAAGAAGTAAATAAATAATACTGATGAAGAAGATAAATAAAAAGAAAAGAAAAAATAATAATAATAAACAAATAAAATAAAATAAAAACTTCTAAACATAATCATAACTATATACAATATATACATTCGCCCAAGAATCTCCGAACCAGGCTTTTTCCCCCACACGTGGAAGGCAAAGCAAGACTCCGGAAGATCCCAGCGCCACTTTTCCAGCCGCATCACTAGTATTAGAAGCCAGTGGAGACTGAAAGAGGGCACTAGAGCCACAGACGCTCAGGACATGAGTGGAGAAGCTGGCCATTGCCAGGACTCCAAAGGCATATTTACAAAAGATCTCGAGGCCACTGCCGTTTCAACCTTCGAGGGGGATGGTATGGATGCTCGGAGCTGGATAGGGATTGGGCTAGAGGATTGGGATGATGTATGAGGTTCTGGTGAAAGTTGGAGAATCTGGATGGGATGATGTCATGGACATATGGGATGTTAAGGTCATGGTGTAGGGTCTTGTTCGTGACATAATATGGAGCATTGACTATTGTTCGAAGGACTTTAGACTGGAAGGATTGGATGCGTTTGATATTCGATGATTTAGTTGTCCCCCACAGCTCAAGTCCGTAGGTCCAGATAGGTTTCAGTATGGTCTTGTAGATTAATAATTTGTTTTCTGTTGAGAGATGAGATGTTCTGTTTAGTAGTCTATATAGCTGACCAAATCGTCGGTTAAGCTCTTGTCTTTTAAGTCTCGTATGTGGGTTCCAAGTCAGTCTTTTGTCCAGAAGGAAGCCAAGGTATCGGACTGTGTCTGAGTAGGGAAGAGGAATTGAATTAAAAAGGATTGGCGGACAGGATCTGCGTCGAAGAGTAAAAGTTACATGTTTACATTTTGATTCATTAATTTCGATGCGCCAGTTGTTGCACCACTGCTCAATGAAGGAGAGGTGTCTTTGCAGGTTCCGAGACGCAATTAGAGGATCCGAGTGGGAGGATAGGATGGCAGTATCATCAGCAAATGTTGCTAGGAAGGTATCAGGACTTGAAGGGATGTCAGCGGTAAAAAGGATGTAGAGAACTGGGCCCAAGACACTGCCTTGTGGGACACCAGCCTCAATTGGATAATGTTTGGAGAGTTCAGTGCCGCAGCGGACTTGAAAGGAGCGATTTGAAAGGTAGGATTTGAGGACTAGATACAAGGCTTGAGGTAAATGGGTTTTGAGCTTGAAAAGCAAGCCATCGTGCCACACCCGGTCGAAAGCTTGAGCTACGTCCAGAAAGGCACCAGTGCAATATTGCTTGTTTTCAAGTGCAGAGGATATGTGGTCCACAACGCGAAGGCCTTGTTGGACAGTGGAGTGTCTTGAGCGGAATCCAAACTGATGGGAAGGGATATTGTGGGATTCGAGTATGGGTAGGATGCGTTTGAGAAGGATTTTCTCAAAGATTTTGGAAAGGATCGGAAGTAAGCTTATCGGTCTATAGGATGATGTACAATTAACAGGTTTACCTGGTTTAGGAAAGAGGATAATTATGGAGTGTTTCCACACCAGAGGAAAGTGGGTTGTGCGGAGGATACAGTTGAATAGGTATGTAAGGAATATAATTGCTTTTTTGGGAAGTTGTCTGAGGATCTGGGAAGTAAGGAGATCGTGTCCTGGAGATTTGCGAGGTTTTAGGTTCTTTAAAAGGAATTTGACCTCAGAGGGGTTGACGGCTGTAGGAGGTAAGGAGAGAGGAATCGGTGAAGAGAGGAATTCTTTAACTTCAGCAGTATGGGAGGGATGGAGTTCAGGATGAGGAGTGAATGTGTACGATAGATGTTTAGCAAACTCTTCTGCTCTATTCTCATCTGACGAAGCCCAGGAACCATCATCACGGCGGAGGGGGTGGGAAATGGATTGGAATTTAAGGATTTTTTTAGTTACATTCCAGAGGGAGTTATCACTTGCAGATAGTGAGGAAAGATAGGAATTATAGGATTGTGATCTAAACGTAGCCAGTTTTTGTTTTACCTGCTTGGAATAATAGTTATATGATTTCCGATCATCAGGATGCCTGGTTCTTTGCCAGATGGTCCTAGAGCATCGTTTTCTATTAATAAGGTCCAGTAGGTCTTGGGGTAGAGGATTTATTTTGCGGTATTTTTTAGAAGGATAAGGTGAAGATGCAGTCCAAACTGCTTGTTGGATCAAGGTAGTCATGGAATATACTGCTTCATCTAGGTCTGCGGGTGTTTTTAAGGAAACTCTGAGGTCAATATTATCATCCAGTATTTGACGGAAGAGGTTCCAATTAACTGGCCCCCTGATAAATGAAGGTGGAGGTGGTTTGGGAATTGGTGATGTGGAGACCGTTAGGATTAGGGGACTATGGTCTGAGGAAAGATCATCAAGTCTTGAGATGCAATAATGATGGGACCCTAGACCTTTGTGGATGAAAAAATCTAGGAGATCGGGATTGCGGTTTGGATCTGTTGGCCAGTATGTGGGAGAATTGGGTGAGAGGATGTTGCTGTGATGGGAATTAAGTGCAGATAGCAATGTTCGTCCTCGGGAATTTGTGGTTCTGGCTCCCCATTGCTGGTGTTTAGCATTTAAGTCTGCACCTAGAAGGAAGTGGTGTCCTAAGGAGTTAAGGAAGGAAGTTAATTGGGATTCTGAGATGGGTATTTTAGGCGGGGAGTATGCTGCGACTACTGCTATTGGGTAAAGGGAAGTTTGGATTATCACGGCAGTGGATTGTAGGAAATTATGGGTTAGCAAAGGGAATAGATGATGGGAAAGGGATTGATGGATAATTATGGCAGTGCCAGCATGTGCTGTTCCATCAGGATGGTCGGTTCGATAGATATGATAGTTGGGGATGTTAAGTGGTCGTTTGTTGGTAAGTCGAGTTTCAGTTATTAATGCTATATCAATGTTTTTGTCCTGTAATAAGATTGTTAGTTCGTTGACGTGATTTCGAATACCATTCGCATTCCAAAGGAGAACGGAGAGGGATTTGATTGGGGACATTTAAGGATTTCTCGACAGTGGGATGAGGTTGGATACAACATTGGTAAGCAAGGAAATGAGAGGAGTGATGAGTGACCTGAATTCAGAGAGGAAAGAAGTCAATAGGCTTGTGAGGTCAGTGGCATTGGGAGGAGGAGGAATGAATGTCTGGTTATTAGGCCTAGGTTCAGAGATGGGATAAGGGTCTTGTGGTTGAGATGTGAATACTCGAGGTTGAGGTTCTTGTGGCAGGGCCTGAGTTTGTGTGGGTGCAGTGTCTCCTTTGAACATCTGAGCATAGGACACTCTTGTATTTACAGTTCTAGAGGGTTGTCTTGGTGGCCTGGATGGCCGTTCTTCTCTTGGAGCTGCATAAATTCTTGCTTTCAGTTCCTTATATGTTTGGCAACCCTTGTAGTTCGCTGGGTGCCCTTGGTGGCATAAAGCGCATACTGCTGGTGTTCTTCTGGACTTCTGGCAGTCCTCAGTTTTATGTTGATCACCGCACCTGACACATCTAGGAATGTGGTGGCAATAGCGTTTCGTATGACCATAAGCCTGGCAGTTATGGCATTGTACAATGTCGCGCTTAGTGTAGGGCTTTTCTACAACAACGCTAGTGTAATAAAGGCGTGTGACCTTGTAGATTTCTTCGACCTGGGGCGTTCGGTCAAGGTCAACGAAGAATAGTGGGAGCGGTATTTTATTTTTTGTACCAGGCTGTTCTCTATCTTCCTTGAATATATTCACTATTTGTCGAACACGGAACCCCATCTCAGTTAGTTCTTCTTTAATGGCATCCAGCGGTGTTGATGGGTGTAATCTCCTGATCACCACCCTGAGCGCTCTCTCTTGGCGCAGTTGATATGTGTGATAATCCGCCTTAGTGTCAGATAAATACTTGACAATTTTTCTGTACGTATCTGGGGTGTCAGGCATTAATTTCGTGTCATTAGTGCGGCTTTGGCATACGTATTTACCTGAGCCCACTATATTATTTAATTGTTGACACATTAATTGGAAATTTTTTATATTTCTAACGAATATTGGTGGAGGTTTAGGTTCACTAGGGATGGGTACTGCTTCCATTTGTTCATTCTGTGTGTTTGACAGCACTTGGAATGGATTAGCTGTAAAAAAAGGCGATTCTTCTAGCGTACCTTGTATTGGTATAACTTGTGTTGACATATTTTGTGATGATGTGCCAGGTTGATTTTCAACTTCGTCAACTGAGCTCTCTGGTGTAGCTGGCGGGGTATTTTTTTTAGAGCGTCTAGCCCTTTTCTTGATGGGTGAACTCTTTGTGGTATCGAGACTCCTAGATCTTAAAGTTCGATTGTTACCTTTGCTCGACATTACCATATGAAAATAGCGCATCTCATATTAATTTAATTAGAGGTAACTGTAATAATTTGAAAAAAAAAAATGTCCTTTATCAATTACGTATATATTACGCGAGTTTGTAGAAGTCTAAGTAACGTAGATCTGCTTCCGCCAAAGGGCAGCAGCCCACTGGTCGGATTAACGAATGTATAT